AGCTCATGGCTTCACTGCGTTACGCAAGCCCCTTCGCCACGACAAGGCAGTGATCCATGAAGGGGTGTATAAGTTTACAAGTCATGAATAAGAGGGCAGGTCTTCTTGTGCATTGGTAACAAAGAATAAAAAGCAAACGATAACATCATAATGGTGCCCGGTAGGGGGTTAGATTTGATTTGTTTCTCCTGAATAGTGGCTCCATCCTGGTGACTTCTGTCTGCAAAATGATGTGCTGCAAAATTGAGCAGTGTGTGAAAAGCAAGTCTTAATATGGCATGAAGAAGTCAACAGCTCAGTGGGAAAAAAAGCAGCATGTTTGTAGGACAACTGCAAGTTTTTAGGTTCATAATCACTTCCTGGATTTTTAGTTCTTAAAAATACTCTTGAACTGCCCTTGGACATGTGTATATGTTCACACTGAAGTCTAATGAATTAGATTGAAGATAATTATACATTTCATAATGAAGATTGTAAACTGTGACAACATAATTGTATTGGTGGAGGGATTACAACAGTTCTTCCTCTCAAGCTTCCAGAAGGGGTTGCAAGATTATAAGAAGTTTTGACTTCTTGAATTTCTGTGTTCCCTACCCCATATTTTTTATGGTAAGTAGTTTACTACAAGTTTCTAAGAAACCAGTAGTAGTAGTAGTCTACTTAACTGCACCTTCTCTCTCCTATGTCTTCTAGAAACAGGAAGGGGATTGATGACCACAAAAACGCTTCAGGTTTGTGAGTATTCCTATGAATGAACAGATGGAACTGTTTGAACAATAGTGAGGATATGAGAAATTATATTATCTTGTGTTTTCATATATATTATTCAGACTTTCCTTGTGGCTTTATGCTGGATTTATAAATCATATTGAACCTATGACAGTGGATTAGGCTAGCACCTACGTTTTGTTGAAGGGCCTATGAGCAGAGACTCCAGAGCCTGCGGGTGGTCTGGATTTATGTGGTTGTAGTTATCTTTCAAAAGCTTGGTTGGTTTGGGATTAAAATTCCTGTAATTGCCAGATGATGGGATGAAGATGTTATAATCCAACATAATTTGGACATCACTAGGTTAGAGATAGCTAATTTAGTCTTGAGATTATAGAATTTTGGTTTAGCACTTTAAGTAGATCCAGCAATTTTTAAAATCTTCCCAGTGCTGTTATAAATTGGGCATCATTGTACCTAAAAGATCCAAATACCTTGCTGCTGCCAGTCAACTTAGTTGCAAGGATGGGATATGTGCTTATGAAGCCCTTTGCTCTCGTTGCAAAGTTTATTTTTCTGAATGTTTCTTCTCTTTTATAGTAAGTGGCGAGGTAAATATCTGCCAAGGCTATTGCTAGGTTTGCAGTACAATCTGGATACATAAAGCGTTTTGGATGCTTTGAGTCCACAGCTATCTTTTTCACTTCCTTTGGTATATTTCCATTTTGAGATCTAGTGATAGTGATAGATGCACACTTGTAGAGTTTCCCACAGGATTACCAGGGATATTGTACTGTTGGAGCTTCTGCCAAGGAATGGCACTCTCCTTGGCCAATCTTTGGTGGGGATCAGGATTGCTCCCAAAGTGAGTATCTAAGGGATCCTCAAATATACGGTGATCTAATCCTCACTTGTGCCTTATCTGCAATATACATGCAACCTTTTGAAAATCTGCCTAATTTAAAAGTAGCAATTAATTAATTGCAGAGTGCCTTGGCTGAGTGTTTTTTTTTTACTTTAGCAGCATAACAATTTATGCGATGAGTACTTATTCAGTATAATCATTCTGTTTGTTTTAACATTTCATAGGCTGAAGAGTTGATTATTTCTTTGCCTGAAAAGTGCTTGCTTACTTCCAATACTGTTCTTAACAGCTATCTCAGAGAATACATTTTAAAGTAAGTCGGTCACCACTTAATAAAATCCTGATGTTTGCACATTGACATTTCATAGATCTTATCATTCAAACTTCTTCTCTAAGCTAAACAGTTTTCATTACTTTTAACAAAGTTGTGTAATTGGGGAACTGCGTACAGTGTGCATTTTTGTAAGAATTGATGCCAGTTGTTAGATGGTATTCAGAATATATACAAAAAGAAAATAATGGAGGGAGAAAAATGAAATGGAGATAAAGTTACTGGAAAATAAGCATTGAAGATTCAGAGGGCAGTCTTAAAAGCAGTCTTTTAGGAGTAAATACTTCATAATTAATTCGATTTTTTAAGAGAGTGTTTGGGAAACTTGGGGATAAGGGTGATTGGTTTAGAAAAAAAAAACAAGAGATCCTCTTCCAGATAAGTTACAAGTTAGCCATGTGTTTCTTCAAAACAAATAAAACTTGTGGCATATTTATTGTGATATAATAAAGTATTACCCTGACTTAGTAATCTGTTTGTGTGGATATCACATGTACATATACAGTACTGAAACTGTCTTTACTAAAAATGGCCATTCACAAAATAGTTGCTGGATGATAATAGGCAAGTTCATATTTTTTAATTGATTAGCACATATTTTATTATGAGAAGCCTTTGTGTGTGTGATAAAAAAAACTTAGTTCAGGTTCAGGTCTCAATAAATAGTATTGTATCTTTTGATGAATTATAGTGTAGCTGTTTTGCATCGGATTCTGTTTATGTATTTCCTTTGTTTAAAAATGACCTTATAAGTCAGGGGCAGAATGTTCTGGGAGGCTGAAATCTCTCTCTGTTCCCATCTGTTAATATTGTGATTTCTGATGTGTCCGTTTATTCTTTTACACAGAAACTGACCTGTTTGTACTATATGGTGTCAGGAATAAACCGTGCACAAAATTCCTCTTTAATAGGGCCATATTTCCTCTTTAATAGGGCCTAAAATTTTATATGCAATATCAGGGATTCATATCTTTCACATTCTTTGGGAATTCAGTGTGATAATATCAACAATTGTCAGCAGTGTCTCATGGCATTAAAATGGCAAATGTGGTTCATGTAAGAAAGTGTCAGATGATGCAATTTGTAGCAAACATATGTACCGATGAAAATGGTAACTGATTAAGAAAATTGAAATACTCTGTATCATTCTAATTGGTATACTTAAAAAGGATGTAGGGAAAGATACTGAAATTGTTAAATATTTATGGCAGGAAAGGTTACAATGTTTGTAGCTTTCTAGCTTAGAAGAATGATGAATAAGCAGAATGTGATAGAAGAGGGTAAACTGATACAAGGTGTGACAGCAGTGGATATGGAGCGTTTTCTTCCTCTGTCAAAATAGGCGATACAGAGTCATCTAGTGAAGCCAAATAGTATGACATTCAAGACAGGAAAAAAAAAGACTTCTTTAAACATCCAGGTTGGTGTAATGGTAAGGGCATCAGGCTAGAAACCGGGAAACCATGAGTTCTAGTCCTGTCTTAGGCACGAAGCCAGTTATGTGATCTTGGGCCAATCACACTCTCTGAGTCCTAGGAAGCAGGCAATGGCAAACCACTTCTGAAAATTTTGACAAGAAAACTGCAGGGACTAGCTTAGGAGTTGTCAGTAGCCAGGAGTCAAGACTGACTTGAAGGCGTAATAACTAACTAACTAACTAACTAACTAACTAACTTCACTCAAGCAAAGAGTAAGGTTGGCTACTTGGTCTGCTTTAAAGGAATGGCTGGGAATGCTAACAATTTCCATATTGTTGCCCCCAAAAATTCTATGGATGTGTCCATTAAATCACCAGGAGTGGAGCTGAACCTGAAGGAGTCTTTACTACAGTGGGGCAAAAAAGTCAGCCACCAATTGTGCAAGTTCTCCCACTTAAAAAGATGAGAGAGACCTGTAATTTTCATCATAGGTATACCTCAACTATGAGAGACAAAATGGGGAAAAAAATCCAGAAAATCACATTGTCTGATTTTTAAAGAATTTATTTGCAAATCCACTGTTGCTGGTATTTTGGCCCATTCCTCCATGCAGATCTCCTCTAGAGCAGTGATGTTTTGGGGCTGTCGCTGGGCAACATGGACCACTGTTGCTGGTATTTTGGCCCATTCCTCCATGCAGATCTCCTCTAGAGCAGTGATGTTTTGGGGCTGTCGCTGGGCAACATGGACCACTGTTGCTGGTATTTTGGCCCATTCCTCCATGCAGATCTCCTCTAGAGCAGTGATGTTTTGGGGCTGTCGCTGGGCAACATGGACCACTGTTGCTGGTATTTTGGCCCATTCCTCCATGCAGATCTCCTCTAGAGCAGTGATGTTTTGGGGCTGTCGCTGGGCAACATGGACCACTGTTGCTGGTATTTTGGCCCATTCCTCCATGCAGATCTCCTCTAGAGCAGTGATGTTTTGGGGCTGTCGCTGGGCAACATGGACCACTGTTGCTGGTATTTTGGCCCATTCCTCCATGCAGATCTCCTCTAGAGCAGTGATGTTTTGGGGCTGTCGCTGGGCAACATGGACCACTGTTGCTGGTATTTTGGCCCATTCCTCCATGCAGATCTCCTCTAGAGCAGTGATGTTTTGGGGCTGTCGCTGGGCAACATGGACATACCTATGATGAAAATTACAGGTCTCTCTCATCTTTTTAAGTGGGAGAACTTGCACAATTGGTGGCTGACTAAATACTTTTTTGCCCCACTGTAAGTGCCTAAGTGTCAGGATGGCTATATATTACTTTTTGTAGCTGCTGTAGGATTAGACCATTGAGGAGCCCAATATTCCCTTCATTTGATCAATCAAGCCGTTCCTCTTTCCTTCCTTCAATTTCATCCCTTGTGGATGAGAGCTTTTTGATTTTACTTCATATATAGAGATAAATTAAAACTCAGGAATTTGGTAAAAAAGGCAATTGTCAGAAAGTATTTAACTGTTACTGTGCTTTCCTTTACCTTTTGAATAGATGGAGGCCTCCAATTTCTCCTTTGATAGCATTGTGTTCGTTTTTAATAGCAGAGAAGTGGTCCCACAGGACGTCTGTGTGGAAGCCATACCTGGATCTCCTACCTGAAACATATACCTGTCCTGTTTATTTGGAGCAAGAAACAGTGAACCTTTTCCCTGAGCCCTTAAGAAGAAAAGCCCTTGAGCAACGATCATTGGTCCAGGAGCTTTTTGCTTCTTCAGAGCAATTCTTCTTTTCCTTGCAGCCTTTATTTCCTGCTGATGTGGCAATTATTTTTAACCTCAGTGCCTTCCAGTGGGCTTGGTGCACTATAAATACAAGAACAGTGTTTATGAAACATTCAGAGAAAGGCTATTTTTCTAGAGAGCCAGATATATATGCTTTAGCTCCGTTTCTGGATCTGCTAAATCACAATCCAAATACCCAGGTAAGATGATGATGATGGTGATATTAATTTTATTAATTACAGAAAGAAAAGAAAGAAGAAAAAGGAAGTATTACATATATGTTCATTTTATATACTAACACTAATTAGAAAAAAACCCACATCAAATGTATAGATCAGAATATACAGGTTGTTTCTTAATTGGTAGTCCAATTAAAACTCCGATTATAAAATTGTTCAAGTATAGAAAAAGAAAGAAATGCTTCAAGACATTGTATAATTGGTATAATTAACAGAGAATGGGTGCCCTTCCAGTGTTGTCAGTAAACACATTTAATTCTCCCCATTATATGTACTTTGTGAGCATAATGCACCCAATGCCTTCAGAAGTGTAGAGTTTGATCTGAGGATTGTGACTTCAATAATGAGAATGTATTGATATGTTTCCTGAACTTACATTTTTCTCATATTCAGGTGAAAGCTGCATTTAATGAAAACACAAAATGTTATGAAATTAAAACACTTCAGGGCTGTCAAAAATACAAAGAAGTATTTATTTCTTATGGCCCTCATGATAACCAGCGACTGCTTCTAGAATATGGTTTTGTTGCTGCTTGTAATCCACACAGCTGTGTGCATGTTAGTACAGGTAAGGCTGTGGCTAGACTTTGACCTTGATAGGTAATACAAAATAATGAAAAGCTTAAAACAATGAAAGCCCATCACTTTCTTTCAGAGCTTTGAATGCTATCAGTTTTTAAGCTTCCTACAACTGAATCCCACAAGTAGTCTGATGCACCAGGATGAGATACTGGGGAGTAAAAAAGTGCTAATCCACAGTCCTCTTGGTGGCATTATTGCTTTTCTTCAAAGCTTTGCTGTATTACCCTTATGTATCTCCACAAATAGCTTAAACAAGGGTTCTCAGGCTGTGAGTTATGACCCCTGAGTGGTAGAGCAAAGCTGAAGGGTAGTGATGATGATGATTAGATTTCTACCCCACCTTTATTTTCTTCAATTCAGGGTGGTATAGAACATGCTCCCTTTTCCTGTCCCTTTCACACCTACAGGAGGACTAAAATGAAGCTGCCTGTCAGGTGGTGAGAAGGGCTGAAAGGCAGGCAGCTGGCAGCCCAGTCTCTGCAGAGCTCTGATTCCTGGGGAGGGCAGGAAAGCACCTACATCATGTGTGGACATGGTTGATCTGGGAGAGAAATGCAGGCCCAGGCACTTTCTCAGAGCTGGGAAGATACCATGGCATCAAGCATTATCACTGTGGATAACTGCTGGTAAAAATGACACACTCACTTGGCTGCTTTTACCACCATCATTATAATTTCTAATGGTGTGTCGTGCAAATTAATTTATTATTTTAGAGGGCTACAGCACCACCAGTTAGAGAGCTGAAAAAACCCTGGCTTGCAACACTGAGGAGGATAAACACCCATCCGTATCCTCAGATGCTGAAAGGTTATGCTGCATTATCATAGAATTGGGGAGCCAGATTATTGTCATTCATTTCCATGCTTCTCTGGTATAACGTAAGACCACTTATGCTAACCTGATGGTATGGTAGCAAACACTGGTTTAAGGTTAGTGTTTGTAATTATGAATTCTAACATCTGTGCATGCCCAAGGATAAAGATGGAGACTATTCTGTTCAACTAAAGCAGTGTTATCCAAACTTGGCCACTTTAAGATGAGTGGACTTCAACTCCCAGAATTCCCCAGCCAGCCATGGTTGGCT